CTATATATATATATATATATATATATATATATATATATATAGTAAGATGCTAAGGTGAGCCCATGGGCTCATAGAACAGTGTAAACTCTACGTTCCAAATTGAATCTAAGCTGATTTGACGGTCAGGATTGTATATCAGTAATATAATTTTAATATTTTTTTATATAAATCCAAATAGAATGAAATTTGGAGTATGAACTCTTCTCATCAAGGCACAGTTAATAAAAATATCAAAAAATTAATTCACATAAAATAAATTGACCAAAATACCCCCGAAATGTTTCAAGGGTATTCTTGAAGAATAGAAACTTCAAATTTCAAGTAATCTGAATTTGTAGAAAAAAAAAATTAAAATTAAATTATAAAATACAATTGTGATCATTGGATCAGTTCAGATTCAATCTGGGCCGTTAGGCTTACATTGTTCCATGAGCCCATGGGCTGACAGGAGCTTTTTCATATATATATATATAGGGAAAGTTTTCTATGCTTCCCCTTATCCAACCATCCATTATGAATGTAGGGCTAAGATTGTCCCAATCACAATGTCACGTCTCTAGACTATTTTATTTTTAATTTTTTTCTATAAACTAATTTGACACTAAATTTTGGGTGTCCAATCCTCTATTAAACTCGCACTAGCGAAAATATATAAAAAAATATTTCCAATAAAATAAAATGACCAAATACCCTTGAAAAATTATTTTGGTATTTTGGTCATTATATTTTGTCCAAAAATATTTTGGTCATTATATTTTGTCAAAAAATTATTTTTAATATTTTTTAGAGGTACGCCCCAATAAAAAGATGGTACATACCAAATTTCATATTCATACAATTTGTATAAAAAAGCTAAAAATAAAAGACTTAGAGATATCGAATCTAAGATCAAATGGTGAGTGACTATCTTGATCAAAATTGGATGGCTGGTTGGTAGGAGAAGCATAGATCTTCCATGCTGTAGGGAAAGTATAGAAACCTTTCCCATATATATATATATATATATATATACAGTTTCTTCAACCCTTGGGGCAGATGAAATGTCTCTTCGTTATATTTTTATAGGGTGTGGCATTTATAAGGTTACAACCTTAAACAATCCAAATTAGGAAAGGGGTTAGGGTTGTAGTGGTAGCATCTCCAAACCCAGTTACCATGTGGTGGTATCCATTCCGACCATTATATATATAGTTTCTTCAATCTTTGGGGTAGATGAAATACCTCTTCGTTATATTTTTATAAGGTGTTGCATTTATAAGGTTGCAACCTTAAACAATCCAAAGTAGGAAAGGGGCTGGGTCATGGTGGTAGCACGCGCACACCCAGTTACCACGTCGTGGTATCCATTCCTACCACTAACACCCCCAATTAACATTTTCAAAATGTAACTCCCAATCTATTGAAAAAATGGGTGGGGAGGACCACTAACACCCCCCAATTAACATCACATCTTCAATATGTAACTCCTCAATCTATTGAAAAAAACCCGTAGGAGCTGGTTTTCCCCATTGAATTACTCAAAAAAAAAAAAAAAAATAAAATAAAAAAAACTTAAACAATCCAAATTAAGGCGCACCATCTTTAATTCTATATTTTGAGGTTGCCACGTTATATAAACTTTTCCCATGATAGACAACGCCAAACAAGCTCATTATTGAGATTAACTTCATTGAAAAATGAGATGTTAGTAATAACCAGTGTGCCTAAACATGCCTTGTAAGTCTTGGACCGATTACTTAATATGTTAACTTGCCCGTATTGTCTGACGGAGCATTCACACAGATTTTGAAACGTATGTACATTTTAAAATTGGGTGAGGTTTGTATAAAGTTGGTTCCTTAAACAATCAAGCCGCACCTCAAATTGATGCAGTTCAAGTACCAAAAATCCCTCCGTTAGTCTTCAAACTTATTTTATATTTCATTATGAAATTTAAAGTTTTGAAAATAATGTAGATTAAATCGATCCACATACCCTTGAAAATAGAAGGTGCATATAATAATTACAAGATGAAACATATCTTACAAGATGATCAATTGTATAGTTGGCATCAGAACGACCTTTCCACAAAGTAATTGAGGTGCGGTTTATTTCTATAGCATGGGACTACAGGGTACTTCATGTAAATGTTTTCCTTATTCAGATTTGTTTACTACATGCGCTTGCATGCGTATCACCGAATATTTGCATGGAAGAGGGAGGACCACGAAAGTAGAGAGAGAGAGAGTGACGAGGGAGAGAGAAATTATTAGGGCCCCAATTCATGGCGACATTATCGTTAGGGCTTAATCTTTGCCCTTCGTCACAATTATTTATTCTCCCTCCAAACTCAAACTGTCTCAATTTTCACAAGCCCAACAAGCCCCAGAACCAAGGTACACAGACCCAACATTTTTTTTTTTTGTTGAATTTGTAAACCAACACTGTTACATATGGTCAACCACTATGAACTATCAATCTACTGCCTTCCCCTTTTTCAATTGTTCATGAGTCCATTCCAATACTTTTCTATTTGCATCGTTAGTTTATGGGTTTTTACTATTGAAAGTTTCTGTTTTGGTGAGACAATTTTTTTCTTTTTTCTTTTTTAATTTTATTTTGTTATTGGAGAGATTTGCAGTGAAAGGTTGATTGAGCTTTCATTGGTTGTCTGATTGAATTTTCCGTTTTTTTTGGTTTTTCTTCTAATGGAGGAGGGTCTGGTTAACTTTGTGTATTCTTTTTCTCGGGACTTGTAACTGAATTTGTTGGGTTTGCAAAAGAATTTGGGTTTGGAGTTTATCAGCATTTGGCTTGAGGTTTTTTTCTATTTTTTTCCATGCGACATTAAGCTGGAACCTTCCCAAATATGCTATTCCTTTGATGTGTTTTAGGTGGGCATTTTTTTGTTACTTTGAAGTATGACGTATCATATCCTTATTCAGTATTCCCACCCCCCCCCTCCCCCCAATCTGATAGAGGTCATCTTGTTTTGGTAATAGTAAGGAAATTCTTGAGTTCTGCTTTATGCTATGTTTTCAGGTCATTTATTGATCGTCTGATTGTTAATTTTTGTGGATCGGAAATTGGTGGGTTCGAACTGCTTTGAATTTTGTTGTTGATCTGATGAGCATAGTAATTATAAAGTGAACATTTGCTTATTTCTGTTTTCTTGGTTGGGTAAGAAACAAGAAAAACAAGGGAAGGCTAAACGAGGTGGTTTCCTTGATCTAATTCTTGGCTGACTGTGGTTATTCCTTTTAGGAGGGCCCAAGTTACGTCTCTCTGCGCAAACATTTAGTTCTCTGGATTTTCAAGAATCGAGTGTGGCTATGGATTCCATAAAGAAACCTTTGGGGTTGAACAATCCTCCAGGGTTGAATAAGAATCTTTATCCACCCATAGAACCATACAGTGTTGGATTTCTGAAGGTTTCAGACATTCATACCATATATTGGGAGCAATCGGGGAATCCTGATGGACATGTAATTGGCCCCTTCTCTTAGTATTTTTCCACACTCTTTCATTTATTCTTTTCTCTGTATGCTATTTAGTTGTTGTTCTTTCAATTTTGTGATTTGGCTAGCCGTGTTGGAATCTACTACTTCTGTGTTTATCTTGTTTGCTCAGTTTTTATTAGAGTTTTGGGATTGTTTGGACTGAAGGAATGAAAATTACTTAGCTATCTATCTCATAAGGAATACCAGCCAGTCTAGACCTCTCACATGCATTGATGCGGTGGGGGATATCAAACACTATATACAGGTCTCATTCTTGTGCCACAAGGAGTTCTGTACATGTAATCTAACAATCTTTGTCTATGACTCAAAATTCTAGTTGACAAGAATTGGAATGGTTATATATGCAATTAATTATTTGTTATGTGATTTGTAAAAGAAAAAGTTTAAATAAGTTGTCAACCGTGTATTGGAGAATTCACGCACACCTCAAAAACCAACAAAAACATATTGTTTTGACACTGCAAAATCCTCCAATCGATCATCTTGACCTTGAGAGGTGTGGATATGAAAAAAAAAAAATTTCAAGTCTTGAAAATAGTGCATCTTGTAATGTGTTATCTGGACCATCCATTTTCAAGATTTTCAAGTGTTTATAGATCTACTCAATCTTCAACATTTTTAGAGCTTTAAATTTCATGATTAGGGACAAATAATTTTTTAGGCCACAACAAAGTTTGTCGACACTAAGACTACATCTTTTACACTAATTTGAAGGTGTGCCTTACTTGGGTTGTTTAAGGTTGGCGCCTTACACAAAAGGCACCCTTTTGTAAATGGTTAAAAACATTGCCTTTTATGCACTTGCAAATTCACTCTAGAGCAATGCTCACCTGTTGATTATTATTTTTATAGGATGGAGTTGATAGTATTAATATTTCTTCTTGTTCCAACCAACACGTGAGCCTGATTTATAATCTATGTTAGGAAATAACAAGTATGGGTTGCAGGTTTTGGACATGACGGGCCTTTTTGATAGGACATGGTGACAAACACCCAAGTGTTTTTTATTTTTTAATATCAAACTGTTATTTTGAGAATTTCAAAGTGCAACATTTCTTTGAAATCTTGGATACTCATGGGATATCTAGCCGTAGTACTTCCTGAAACCATTTTATTTCGTAAGTTTTAAAGCTGATGGACATGCCTTTCCAAAGGGCTTGGATTGTGGTAAAGAGAAGAAAATCCCTCTTGTTTTGGTTGGCAAAAGCCTTTCCAAATGTGTGATAAATATTGTTAATTCACTAAATGTGATCTTTGTGTTAACTAGTATATGAAGCAATGGGGGGAAGGGGGGGGGGGGTATGATTTTGAGAAAGTGTGTACATGATATCCATGGTTTTGAAACTCGGCCTCGCTCTATTGGCGAGGCAAATTTAAGGCGAGTTGGTTGTACAACAATTTTATAAACAATATGTATACTTATATGTCATATTTAAGTCACATATCTTGTTAAAACACTCTCGTTTAAGTCACATATCTTGTTAAGACACTCTGGTTAGTCTTTAGGCGTAAGATTTTGCAGATTTCGGGTGGTCAGGGTAGATTTTGCAGATTTCAGGTGGTCAGGGTTCGAATCCCGGCAGAGCATCCTGTTTTTATAAAAAGTATCACATTTTTTATTTCATAGAAGCTTTAAAAAAATTCGCTGGCCATCAGGAATTGAACTCTCAACCTCTGTTAGGGAGGGCGCCACTATCCCCCAGGATAATCAACACGCCATTGACTATTTGATGTAAAAATAATTGCGCACTAAATATATATAGGAAAAAGTTTATATAAGGTTGCAACCTTAAAATGTAGAATTACGGATGCACCTTAAAAATCTATCGAAAAAAGTTGTTTTAATGTTGAAAAACCCTGTGATTGATCATCTCAACATCGAGATGTATGACTATGAAAAATAAAAAGATTTTGAGTCTCAGAAATAGTGCATCTTACAACATATTATCTACACCGTCCATTTTCAAGATTTTCATATGTTTATAGATCTACTTGATTTTAACCATTTTTGGAATTTAAAATTTTATAATTAGATATAAAAATAGATTTTGAGATAATCCTAATAACATTTTACATCAAAATTATATATTATGATAAAATTTGAAGTTGTACCTTAGTTGGATTGTTTAAGGTTGCAACCTTATGAAAACCACACCCACATATATATATCACGTGTTTTTTTTTTAAAAATGAGCTGGACTCGGGCGAGTTACTCAAACTCGCCCGAGTAAATCCCCTCTGTCAATGCCCGAGTACCTTGGCCGAGTCGATTTTTTGAACATTGATGATATCATTTGCAACGACGAGAAATTTTACATTCATTTCATGATAAGCTTTTGTATTTCAGCAATTACTCTAATTGGTATGAATTACTTAGAGATCACCATGCTGTCATGATTAGCAGTAGAAGGAACTATTTTGATGAGCCTGTTTTATTGATAATTGGATAGGAGGAGGATTTTTTAGTTGTCATTCTCTTCTCCATAGTCAATGACTCTATTGCACTTCAATGTGATAATCTTTTGTACTTTTCTCCTGGATTCAATATTCCTCACTGGAAGAATAGACAATACATGGAGGAGGCTGATACCATAGATTGATTTACCACGGGTTATGCTGTCATGTCAGCTTGATTGTGAGCTTAAATATTTTATACCTCTTATACTATGATTAGAATTTTCAAGCACACCTGTTGGGTCCTCATTATATGATTTAGCATGGAGAAATTCATTTTAGCAATCATATGTTATCTGTTATTGTGCTATGGTGAGCCTTGTGAACAAAAGAGCTATAGTTTTGGTATAAATTTGTGATCTCTTTGCAGCCAGTTGTGTTTCTTCATGGAGGACCAGGAGCAGGAACATCACCAAATAATAGAAGATTCTTTGACCCTGAATTTTATCGTATTATACTTTTTGATCAGGTATGAAGTCGTAACATTCCCTGATAAGTATAAAGCCTAATGGAAATGTTAAAAACTAAAAGCACATTCATTGAGGCCATGACCATCATGTGAAAAGGTTAGTGATGTTGTGAGAACAGTGTTCAAAAAATCAAACCGGCCAAGGGCCGGGTCCAAGTAACTGGTAAACTAGCCAGTTCAACTGGCCTAATGAGGCAGGTCCAAAGTGTTAAAAAAAATATGGAAAATATATTTAAAGCATGATTAGACAAAGCACATCCAAATGAAGTTGAAATGTAGTGAAAAAATAGATTTTAAAAAATTGACTCGTGCCCAGGGGTATTTTTGAAATTTTCCCAAAAAGATGGGAAAATGTAAAAAAAATATTCATGGCCAAAAACACTTTCCAATCTTTGCCAAAATGATAAAAAACATTAAAAAACACATTACAAACAAATCCCTTATTTTTTGGGATTTTATATATGTTTTTTTTTTAAAATACTCGGCCGGACCATCAAAACCGGATCGGCCAGTGCCCAGTTCCGCATTGACCGACCGGTTTTGAGTTGGACCGGCCGAGTTTGTGAACACGGGTGAGAGAGATATAGGATCCACCATTGGCTGATGTCCCATTCTTGTGGGTCCCATTCTCTCTCCATCACCTGCCACCATTTTATTAGACAGTGATGACCCCCATGGACTATGTTTTTACACATTTCATTGGACTGTAGTGTACTTTTTCTATTCTGATAATATGCTCATTTTTCACTGCACTTGGTTACTGATATTTTCCTAGGCCCCTTATTTCAGCGAGGTGCAGGTAAAAGTACACCACATGCATGTTTGGAAAATAACACTACATGGGACCTCATTTCTGACATTGAAAAACTTAAGGAACACTTGGGAATTCTAGAATGGCAGGTAAAGTTTTATGCTCGTCCCATTGATAAGAAAATTCTTAAAAGATTTGGTTTCTGACTTTTCCTTGTGTAAAACTAATGCAGGTTTTTGGTGGATCATGGGGAAGTACGTTAGCTCTTGCTTACAGCCAATCCCATCCCGAAAAGGTTAGCACATACACACAATATATAAATGTATGTTTAACAGTAAAACACACACACACACACACAGATACACAGTGCATGAACATGCACGTGAGCACATATATGAGGAAGTATCATTAAAACAGTCAAACGGCCTCAAAAGAATCCCTGAAGTGGTCAAATAAACCAATTTATCAATAAAACTAGTTTTTCTGGTATGATCATTTTCATAATTTGGCTTGGGCAATGCAGTGGTGCCAAATTACCAATTACACTCAATTTCTTAGGGGTTACACACCTGGAACAGTAGCATTTTGGGCATATTCTTTAACAAAATAATTTACGAGGTACTTTTTTTTTTTTTGAACAATAATAGTTTAGGAGGTACTTGAGCAAAATGAACTTTTTAAATCAACCACTTTGTTGATAAGGTGGTTTATTTGACCACCTCAATTATCTTTTGAGGTTTCTGACCGTTTTAATGATTTTATCTCAATATACATTTGTATATTAAATACATACATACATGAAGATCGATTGATGGATGGATGAAAAGATAGATAGGTTGTATATAAGCTTGATACAACACATGTATGGCCATAAAAACTTTGCAATTCTTGATTCCTTGATCAGACATTTTGCATGATTATTATTAATATGGTCCTTTCTTATACGTATTTACCTTAGGTTACTGGTCTGGTGCTTAGAGGAATTTTCCTATTGAGGAAGAAGGAGCTTGACTGGTTTTATGAGGGAGGAGCAGCTGCTATTTTCCCTGATGGTAAGTGTTTTAACAGCTTGAGTTCCTTATGCAGTTTTTAAACAGAATCAATACTCCCATAATGCTTATTCCTACCTTACAATGTGCTAGAGCAAGTTGGTTCCATGCTTGAGTCTCTAGGTTCTTATTTTTGATTTGATGCCTCATCATTTGTTTTCTTGATAAGTTGTATTCTATTGAGTTAATTATGTTTTTACAATGTGCTAGAGCAAGTTGTACTCAAGTTCTATTGAGTTAATTCTACCTTACAATGTGCTAGAGCAAGTTGTATTCTATTGAGTTAATTATGTTTTTACAAAATTGATCTATAAATATGACAATATGCGTATGACCAAAGGGGGCAATGTTTCAAAACCGGCGATCCAGATCGGGAGTTATTGATTTGCATTGGGAATTGGCTTGGACCGAACCATTGTCATGAAGGACGGTTTGGTCCTGATCCAATTCCAATCTAAAACTCCCCTTTTCAATTTTTTTTTACTTTTCTTTGAACTTATCTTAATATTTTCTTAAATCTCCACCCCATAAACATCTATTTTATTTTTTAATTTTTATTTTTAATATTTTTATGGATTGCTAATCTAGATCGGGATCTAGCAATATGACACAGATCTGTGGGGTGACGATCTACCCCATCGATCCAAGTTTTGCAACATTGAAAGGGGGGCAAAATCTCAAAATATTATATATATATATATATGGAAAAAGCTTGGGTGAGCCCACTAGCTCATAGGAAAAAATGAGCCCAACGACCCAGATTGAATCTGGGCCGATCTGACAATCACGGATGTCCGATAGTATTTGAATTTTAATTTTTTTTTACAAATCCAAATCACTTAATTTTAGGCGTGTGTTCTTCTCATCAAGCCGCACTTAATAAAAAATATAAAAAAAATAATTTACAAAAATTTAATTGACCAAAATACCCCGAAAAGACCAAAATACCCTCGAAAAGTG